AAATAAATCATTATGTCTAATTGATTTCAACCACTTAACTTATTTGTCATACGTGTGATAATGATCTAAACTTACAAGTGGTGGATCCAAGGGGAGTGGATATTTTTATTTAAGTTTGTGGTGGATCAAAGGATACTAGTGATTATGGCTTATTGATTTCAAACATTTAGCTTATATGTCATGTATGATCATGATCTAAACATAAGTGATGGATCCAAGGGGAGTGTATATTATTTTTTTTAAAGTTTGTGGCTATTAGTAATTATTGCTAATTGATTTCAATAGAAATAAATATTTTCTAATGAATAAAATTAAAAAAAAAATATTTCAATAGGACTAAATATTTTCACATCAGTTAAAAAAATGAAAATTTGAAAAGTTTACGACAACGCCAATGAAGATACGTCAAAATGACCTAGTTAATGTACTAAACTGTGATGTAACGAAGCATTCTCTGAAGTACACATATCCTTATATTAAGGTATTTTTAATCCTATGGGATAAAAATTCCCAAATTACACTTTATAGAGCTAATATGGGATTTTAATCCCATTTCTTCAATAATGGGTAAAAAAAATCCCATGACGGAATAAAAAAATCCCATGGGAGGAAAAATCCCTCACAGTTTTTTTCTCCTGTGGGATATTGGTGGGATTTTAGGTGGGATGAAAAATCCCCCCATTCTCCCATGGGATTTTTAGTTTTGAGAGAAGTTTATAAGAAAACTACAACATTGTGGAAGTTGAAATTGACATGATGAGATGAGAATAAAAAATCCCACCAAACTTCAGGAAAATTTTTTAAATTATGTCTTTTCGAAAGGGTACCAAAAAGTCCGGACTTTGTCGTGTCCGGACTTAAATGTCGCACTGTTTAAATTATGACATCATTTGTAAATCACGTCATATACGCAGAGCCATCCATTTGATATAATAATCATAGTGGCTACAGGTATACATTTAGTGATTAACATACTTTTCCTTGATTTTTAGACCAAATATAGCACAGATAACTATATCTAACCACCAGCATGTGTCCTGTGACTTAATTCTGGCCTTACGCATGAAGTAATTTAATGCACAGTAAATTAATTCGAATTAAACTAATTTGCATTAAATTCTCCGTGTTAACGCTAAGCGAAGCTACAATGTAAGTCGCAGTAAACTTACGTTTAATTCGAATTAAACTCTCCGCGTGAATAGGGAATTATTTTATAGATATTTAAAACAGAGAACATAGGGGGTGTCGCCGCGTCACAACCGAACGTCACAAATTAAAGCGTACTTTTTTAGAATTAAAAAAAAAAACAAAAACGTTTAAAAGTATCTTTTATGAACGCCTAATCGCCCATTATTTCAAAAGACAAAAATTTACATCATTTTCTAGTAATGAGTTGAAAATTATATGACATCATTACTAATTTTTTAATTGAAAAAATCGCTTTTTACTCCGATTATTGAAAAAATGAAATGCATGTCGAAATGGGAAAAAACGCCACAACAAACTATAATGAATTTTTGGTTCAAAATGGAGAAATCGACAGTAGAGACAGCTACGTTGATTCATCAGACTGACAGGGGGGAAATGTAAAATAAGAGACTTGTTTAGATGGTTTCAGCGATTTTGGGTTGGTGATGGGTCATTGAATGCTCAGTAGATGACAAGAAGACCGAAAGAAGAGAGGGCGGACGGAAACGTTCAATGGTGTGTGACGTTGTAAAAGAAAATACAGACGGTTATTGCGATAAGTGAAATGTTAAGTTGGTCTTATACTACTGTTCAAAGAATTTTGACAGAGGAATTATTCATGAAAAGAGTGAGTGTACGTTGGATACCAAGTTTACTTTAGAAAAGTGAAATTTGTGAACGCGTTCCTGAATCTAAAATAATTTTAATGAAACGAAGGGAAGCGTTTAAAAGTATGACGGCGCGTATCCGTCCTATGACGTTATTTAGGGGCGGCGACTACCATAATCGCAGGTTGTATATAATCCGATATTTTGAAAAATATAAATCATGTTGAATTGAAATCTTCAGGTCTGATATGAAATGAAATAATGTTGGTTTCATTATTAATAATATTGTTGTTTTACGTCGACTGGCAGCGATTTTATTGAAGTTTTGACATTTAGTTTAGTAGTTAGTGCATGTACCTTCAAATAAATATACGGATATATTCGAGCTATTACTGGATCCATAGTGATTATACACTGAAAAGTGATAGGTCCCTTGATCTTCTCGCTGGAAATTCGATATGTTGAGGTTTGGAGAATGAATTGTTCCACCAGAGTATTTGCCATTCAGCCCCGGATTGATTGCTACATCATCTTTGTACCAAATAACTCCAACCACCGGAGGGTAACTGGGGGGAAAACTGCAAGACAGGGACACGCTATCGTTAGCATTGACAGCGTAAATTGTGGTTACCGTGGATATAGTAGGAGAACCTATTGCAAAAGAGGAAAACAATTGAGAGGGAATATGTATAATTCTTTTCAATAGTATTTCATAATACACAAAATTTTCTTCGCTGAAACATTTATCACTGCATATTATATCCGTATATGTTTTCAAATCAAGTGATCAAAATATTCAATCAAGTATTAAACTGTGGTATATAAGTAAAATTAAAAAAAACATAACGGAGATGACTTTTGCAAGAATGCAAATGCTTACTTCGTTGCAAATCTAGAAATATCATCGATGCACTTTGGCCTATTCCTGCTGAGTTTTGAGCCAAACATCTATAGTTTCCTATATCGTCAATTTGAACGTTTTTAACGGTAAGAGACGGTGTCCCTACAGTGCTACCGCTATATTTTGTGGTATTACCAGTGTTGATATTGGTAGTGACGCCGTTTTTCTGGTAATGCCACGTAACAGAAGAAACGGTCGTCGTGCTTGTGACGTAACAGTTAAGTACAGCAGACGATCCAATATTTACTGTAAGACTGGATCCTAACGTTACGTTTGGTAGCCCTATAAATAAAGTGCAATTATCATTGCCATAGTATGTGGAATGCATTTTTTGCTTTGTGTTTTATCATCTTTATTCCAAACTTACCCGGGACGTAGCAATTTGGATCTGTATTTCCACCCAAACAGTGACAAACGTATTTCCCAAATTGATCTTCACATGTTCCCCCATTTAAACATGGCTCACTTAGACAATCGTTTATGTCTGCAAGAAAAGAAATAACGAAATACATAGCATGTAATATAAGTGGGAAAGTCTTTTATTCGAAAATTTCAACAATTTTGTTGACGGGATAAGAGGAATAAAAAATTATGTAGTGTCGTGGAATGTAGAAAAAAGTTTTATGCGGGGGCACAATTAAAAAGAATGCCATTGTCGTTTCTGACAGAAGGATTAACCAAACATTTTAGTTAAGAAAAAATGGCCTGGGTCATTTTAATATTAAATGGGGAGAAACAACAACAGATGAATACGAATCATCATAACACAATCTACAGCCATAAAACTCCATAACAATGAAAAATATTAATACAACAAACCATCAGCGCAGGTTCCGTTTGACAATTCGTTCGCCAACAATGACAATAAGTCAAACGTGGTCAGATACGTGTAGTCGTTGTGGGAAGCCACTGATCTTAGCACAGCTGAATTTATTCCAGTTCCTACCCCGACACAAAATATTGTGACCCCAATTGCTTTTAGTTGTTCGGGCTGGTTGGAAAGAGAGCTTTGTCCATCGGTGATTAGAACAGCAAGTTTTGCCGAATCATTTCTTGCTCCTCTGGCGGAACTAAAAGAGTACATCCGGGCATAATCAAGGGCACTTCCTATACTTGTTCCGCCGCTGGAGAAAGAAATGGAAGATATGGCAGATTGAAGACCAGACACTGTGTGATATTTGTTGAGTGGAAATATCTCTCTAGAAGAGGACGCAAAATTGACTACGCTGAATTGATTTGCATTGATTCCTACTTTGAAGTTACCGACGACGGAGCTGACAAATGACTTCATTCGTTCAAAGTTTAGCGATCCAATACTTCCGGACTCGTCCAGTAGAAACACAATGTCTCCCTTTGAAACGCACTCCCCTAAATAAAACAATTTTTTTTTAAAAATTGTCAAAGTTGTCTCTTTTTTACATACATGTACTAATAGATAGAATTTCTTTTTGCTACTGCGTAGTATCAAAAATATGAAGTTCCTCGTCTTCATTTTTCGGAATACAATTAAATTTTTTTCAACGCTTCATTTTTACTGATTTAGCACCTAGTATGTTATTGACACGAATCGAAATAATTTATACTGCTTAAATTGTAGTCTTACTGGAAGATGTGTTAGACTTTTCCATGAACCTTTTTAAAAAAAAATAGCATTTAATTTCACAGTAACAGAAATTTCAGTGTTCAAAATTGAAATACAGAAAAGGTTGCTATTTGCTATTGGTATAGAATTACTGTAGCATCTATATGAATTAAATAAAAATATTGAAAAAATCGACATTTTAAAATGAGACCAGCATTATAGAAAGATAATATTTAAAAAGGGGTACATGTATGAGTTTTACATTGTATAAAACAGAAACGAAGAACGTACATAGCGATTTTTAAAAAAAAAAAATTAGCAGTGATGAAGCATCTCTTGCGTATGGCTTATATGCTGCGTTTTATTCAATCAGATGGAAAAAAAAATACATGGCGTTGCAATTTAAATTAAAATCACACATATTTGATAACCGTGAAATGACTTTCTCGAATTTAGATTAATGCAATTACCTGAAAGATATCCATATATTTTGGGGGAGGGTGAAATATTAAATTTAATATGCGAGTTTTGGTAGCATCAGACAATGCAATAGGGAGAAAAATGAACGTTAAAACTGCAAACAGACAGATGAAAAACTATATTAAGACTTTGAACAAAAGTGCCAAGTTTTTATCAATAATCAAATTATCAATAAAACATATACTCGTAGAAATGAATTTTCAAAAACCTTTTACACTGTATATAGCTTAGTAATATATAAATATATATTTTCTAATGTTATGGACACTACCAGTGGATTGTTTTATGTTTTATTCTTCAAACCCTTGAATTTATTTAACATGTTATATAAAAATAAGTAAAAATAATTTAAACCTACCTTTAACAAAAGGTATGATTACCCATACCATTTGCAAAAGTACCATTAATTTCAACATTTTCTGTTAGCAAATTTTCTTACATCAGATATCTTTTGGAATAAACATTGCGACAATGTAACTGTGTTTTCAAACGAATTATGTAAGCGGATTTAAGAGCCAAGTCCATCTTATAGTGATATGAACAAGGCGCATTTAAATTTTTTTTGGGGGGAAAAAAGGGGGTGTCTACGGGACCGAATTAGAGTGTTTTAGGTTTACCTCCTAAAACGATAATTTAAATTGTCCACAGTGGGTTGATTTCATTATTTAAACAGTCGATGTATTCTTGAGAGTGGATTTAAACCCTAATTTGCATTTTGTAAACATGTTAACCAATTTTCCTGTCATATCATATTGACTTGCTATATCCTTGACACTGATTTGCATTTATGCACTGGCGTTTTTCATACCAATCGTCATTTTTATACACTGAATTGACGACGGATTTTTCCGTTATTTCCCGATCATGACAATGAGCACACGGCGGGTGTGACCGGTCAGCAGAGGATGCTCACTCCTCCATGGCACCTAATCCCAATCTCTGATGTTTCGGAGGTCCGTGTTTGCTCTACTCTTGTTTTGTATTGTTTTAAGAACTTTGAGATTAAATATAATAATTGTTCGTTATCTCCATATCCTTCCTCTTCTGATTTTTACAGAAAAAAATTCAAAGGGAATGTTGTGTATGTGAAGTTATATAAGAAAAATTTCGTGTGAAATAAAAGAAATTCAAATACACGTAACTTAAATTTTATGTTTTTTTTTTAACTAAATAATTCATATTTTTAAAATAATTGTCTAGTTCAGAGCCTAAAATTCCTGTTTGGTTTATGTTGGTATTTTATCTGCAATCAGTTTCTTAAGAGGTGGCAAAAAGACTACATTCAAATTTGTGGAATGTTAACACTGCAGGTGTACTTTCTAAAAATATTGTGTTAAATTTAGAAAAAAAAATGTTCTACCATAAACTTTTGTTTCTAACTCTATACGTTTTCATATTAATTTTGATTCCTAAACTTTTACATTATAATCATGAACTGAAATGATGAATACTGAACGAGATAAAAGTTTTATAATTAACTCAGAAATGGAAAAAAATGCTTACTATCTATTTGTGGGATAATTAAACTGATATTTAAGAAATGAGGGAAAAAGTAGGGGGGCTTATTTCTTAAACAGAATGTGTAGGCACAAATGTGTTATATTCATTGCAAAATATTTTAATTTAGGTGACCAGAAATAATAATTTTTTATGTTGCTTTTGGAAATGTATCCTTATCTTCTGCATCTTAATTGTACACGATACCCTCCATAAAAACCGTGAGAAGTTCCAATTTGAAATGAACACTTTTGTTAACCGTTTATTTAAAAACTTAATTGCGCCGCAATTACAACGATTAATTGAATTTCGCATTTTTGAGTCAAGAATGTGTTTTCTATACTTCTGAACCAAACAGATAAAAACAAGGTTTTTATACAAATATGTACTCTCTAATTTCGTTCAATGCCTGACTATTAGAGAAATATTTGCTTTAAAATAACTTATTTCTAGGAAGGTAATGGCTTTGAGATGTAATTACTTTTAATTGATGGTCTAGAATTCAAAAATTATCCACTTCAAATATCAAATAAACAGAGAATTAAAGAACTACCACCAAATTATCTCTGTCAGCACATTCTACCTTAAGAAATACGCACGCTAACGCTCGATTCCCGCCTACATTTTGCAACCATTTAATTCAATATAAATGACAATTTGTAATACCAGCTCTAAACAGTAAATATTAGCCATACCTCTAGCTCTTGACAAAAAGGGGGTAGACGAAAATTTTCATTGAAATCGTACTTTCAGGCATCAACATATTTTGAAATAGTCCTGGGTATCATTAAATGTTTCTTATATGTTTTCTTTGTTTTAGACAAATAAAGAAAACATAAATTGAACAATAAAATATAATTTTTTAATTGTAAATTGATTTGGAATTGGTGGAAAATAAGCATTTCTGTCGTTTTTTGTCAATAAACATACATGTATGCCCCTCCCACCACCCCCCCCCCACCCCCGTGTCACACAAAAACCTTTGGTATGAATTTGTGAAATAACAGTCCATATTACCTGTAAACAGGAATTTTTGTGACACCGGGGGGTTGAGATGTTTTAAAAATATTTTCATTTTTCTATTATTTCTATAGTAAACAAGCAAATTCAAAGGATTGTGGTCCCCCACTTTCGGTGTCTTTGTGGGTGAGATGTTATTTTTATGACATATAATGTCTAATATGAACACCCTATCATATGTTATTTATTAAGAAATTATCATTGAAGTTGATTTTTATTCAAAATAAGGTCAATCGTGAAGGTCAATGTCAAGGGGTAAGAAATCATAACAAGCCCGGAATTATCTTTAAGTTGTC